GTTTAGAGAGAGATGAAAGATTTAAGCTGAGAATTTGGAAATGAGAGTTTTTCAAAGAATGAGGGGTATTTATATGAGGTTTTTTTTAAGGATAAAATGGGTTGGCCTCTAAAGGCCCAAGCCCAAAATATTTTTATTTTTCTAAATAATAAAACCCCACTATAATTTATTCAAACAAAACAACTTGATATTAGATTTTAAAACTCCACCCTTTAATAAATTAATTGGCCAATAAAATGGGACTTTGGAAATTTTAATTTTTTTAAATACAAAACTTAAAACATCAACTTTATTTTTTTTTGAAACATTTCTAAACTATTTGGCATTGCACAAGTTAACTTTGTCAGTTACCCGTCGAAACGTGATCTTTCGAACTAATCTTGGGAATTAAGCAAGATGATCTCTAATCATCATAGCTAAATCCTAGGAAGACTTAATTCTCAATAAAGATCCTAAAAAAAATAAGGTGCTAACTTGAAATTCCGAAATGACGGATTGTCACAGTCTCCCCAATCCTGAAAAATTTCGTCCCGAAATTTATGCGTCAAATTCAGATCATGACTTGTTCGAGAATAAGTGGGGATACTTGCTTTTCATGAAATCTTCTCTTTCCCACATATATTTCGGTCCATGCCTGGAGTTCCAATGAACTTTCACAATTGGAATTTTGCTGCGCCTCAACTGCTTGACTTTACTATCAAGGATTTCGACCGGCTACTCAACGAAACGTAACCGTTCGTTAATTTGAATGTCTTCCATGGGTAAGATCAATGTTTCGTCAGCTAAACATTTCTTAAGGTTTGATACATGAAATGTATCGTGGATGGCACTCATCTCTGGGGGTAAGCTTACTTTGTAAGCCACTGGTCCGATTCTTTCGAGAATAACAAACAGACCAACATACCTTGGACTAAGCTTTCCTTTCTTACTGAAACGTACAATCCCTTTCCACGGAGATACCTTCAAGAGGACTTTATCACCCACTTGAAATTTCAATGGTTTCCTTCGGTTATCGGCGTAGCTCTTTTGACGGTCTCTCGCAGCTTTAAGTCTTTCTTGGATGATTGAGATTTTGTCGATTGTCTCCTGAATGATGTCAGGTTTAATCAGCTGCCTGTCACCAACTTCCAACCAGCTGAGTGGTGATATGCACTTACGCCCATACAAGGCTTCATATGGTGCGCACTGGATACTGGCGTGATATCCATTGTTATAGGAGAATTCAACCAATGGCAGATGAGTATCCCAACTGCCCCTAAAGTCTATTACACAGGCTCGTAACATATCCTCCAGCGTTTGGATTGTCCTTTCCGTTTGCCCATCCGTCTGAGGATGATAGGAAGTGCTCAAGTCCAGCCTTGTGCCTAGTGCCTTTTGGACTGATTGCCAGTAATAGGCACTCCATGTCGCGATACGATTTCATTGATATATAACTACGCAAGCCTTTACGTACTAAAGTCTTCTCGAATAGGTAGGAAATGTGCAGATTTCATAAGTCGGTCCACTATGACCCATATTGAGTCGTATCCCTTCCTCGTTCTTGGCAACTTTGTAACGAAATCCATTGATATCTACTCCCACTTCCATTGGGGAATCTCTGGTTGCTGAAGAAGACCAGATGGTTTCTGATGTTCAGCTTTTACTCTTGCACAAGTTATACACTGACTCACGTACAAGGCAACATCCTTCTTCATTCCTGGCCACCAGTAATAATCTCTTAGCTCTTTGTACATCTTATCGGTTCCTGGATGAATTGAGTATCTTGAACGATATGCTTCCTCTAAGATCATTGACCGGAGACTGTTACTCTTTGGTATCCAAACTCTTTCTCTGAAGTAACGCACCCCATCTTCTCGAGTTTCGAATTCCTTTTTTAGATGATGTAGGGTTTTGTTCTTTAGGTTCTCTGGTTTCAACGCCTCTTCTTGAGCTTCAAGAATTTGCGTTTTTATATTCGTTTGGACCAACAATCCCATGGCTCGTACTCTTGACGGTTTCACTTTTTCTTTTTGGCTTAAGGCGTCCGCTACCATGTTAGCTTTCCCCGGGTGATACTTAATTTCACAATCATTATCATTGAGAAGTTCAACCCACCTCCGTTGCCTCATATTCAACATCTTTTGATCAAATATATGTTGAAGGCTTTTATGATCGACGAAAATGGTGCATTTGGTGCCGTAAAGATAGTGCCTCCATATCTTAAGTGCAAATACTACTGCTCCCAATTCAAGGTCATGTGTAGTATAATTCTTCTCATGCACTTTAAGTTGTCTCGAGGCATATGCAATGACCTTATCTTTTTGCATCAATACGCATCCTAAGCCTTGATGCGATGCATCACAAAAGACTACAAAGTTTTCCGAACCCTCTGTTAAGGATAAAATAGGTGCATTGCATAGTTTCTRCTTGAGAGTCTCGAATGCTTCCTCTTGTTTCTCACCCCAAATAAATTTCTTGTCTTTTTAGGTTAAGGCTGTGAGTGGTTGTCCGATTTTCGGAAAGTTTGCGATGAATCTTCGATAATAACCTGCCAAACCAAGAAATTGTCGGATCTCGGTTGGGGTTCTTGGGGCTTTCCAATTCCTAACAGCCTCGATCTTGGCAGGATCTACCTGAATTCCTTTTTCATTAACTATGTGACCAAGAAATTGTACTTCTCATATCCAAAATTCGCATTTGGAGAATTTTGCATACAATTTCTGGTTCCAAAGTAGCTCCAATATTATCCTCAGGTGTTGCTCATGATCCTCCTTGCTTTGGGTATAGATCAATATATCATCTATGAAAACGATTACGAATTTATCCAAGTAGGGTCGACAGACTCTGTTCATTAGATCTATAAAGACAGCCGGTGCATTGGTTAGCCCGAATGGCATAACCATAAATTCGTAATGACCGTACCGGGTCCGGAAGGCTGTTTTGGGAATGTCCTAYTCCCGAACTCTCACTTGGTGATATCCGGATCGTAGATCAATCTTGGAAAAATAAACCGCACCTTGGAGTTGATCAAACAGATCATCGATTCTAGGAAGAGGGTATATATTCTTGATGGTCAACTTATTAAGTTCCCTATAATCAATGCACATTCGAATTGACCCATCTTTCTTTTTAACGAATAGAACCGGTGCACCCCATGGTGAGTAACTTGGTATTATGAATCCCCTATCTAATAACTCCTGGAGTTGGGTTGACATTTCTTGCATCTCCGATGGTGCCAAGCGATATGGGCATAAAGTTCGATCAAGTCGTAGGGGTTGAGATTGATCAAGTCATTGTCGTTGAAGATGCTGACCTGACTGTGAGCTCTCTCCACCGTGTACTCGATATATCTTATTGCTCTGTTGGCGAATGTCCTCATTTTTATATCCATTACCTTCCTTATCCCATCATTTGAGAAGACAACTTATGGTGGTTGGGTAGTCTGTCTAACAAATCGATGATGTAGGAGGTCCATGGATTCTGGTAAAAGAACTGGAGGATTGAGAGGTAGGCTTTCATCGCGATCGTGGTACATGTATTGATGGATATTCTCCATCATGATAGGTTCCCTTGGTGGTATCTCTGGACGTCTCCTTAGTGATTCCATGTTCTGTATTATTTCATCGACTAGGCTCTGAGAAGGATGCCTAGATGAAGAAGGAATGTCCGCTTGCACCGTGGTTGGTTCGGTTGGAGGGTGTTTTGGGTAGAGGGTTGTGTATCGATTGGGAGGTGTGTATCGGTTGGCAAGAGGATGGTTTCTTGGGTTGGCTCAGGTTCATCGGGTTGGGTGATGAAAGGTTGTGTATCGCGAGGGGTTGGTGATGGGGTTAATGGTAGGTCTAGTGTTGGTGATGAAGTAAAAGGTGGGTTGGTGGGGTGGATGGATTTTTATTGGTTGAGGAACTCAACATGATGGGTTCAGGTGTGGTAGCAAGGGGAACAAGTACATTAAGTACATCTTCAGAGGGCTGAGCCTCTGGTTCCCTTGCTTGGGTTGAAGGGGATTGTTGTGTTTGGGGTGATGGAGATGGTGGGTTTTGTTGTTGGTGATAGGATGTTGAGGGTGTAGTGGACTCCATTGCTTGTGGAGCGGTGGCCTGTCTCTCCCCCTCATGAGGACCGAGACCTTGATCATCGGGGTCTGGATCCTCATGCCTTCGTCGTTTGAGGGGACGGCTTGATGAGCAGGAGGCCTTTAACCTGTTCTTCTTCCAAAGCCGTATATGCTCGGCCAAAGTACGCACCCGATCCTTGTTKCGCCATTGTTCCATGGTGTGAAGGAGAGTGTTGGTTCGATGTTGCTGTTGTTGAAGACTCTTCTCAGCACAATGGTCGACTCAATCGATCTGGCGGCAAACTTTGCACTTATCTTATTGATCGATGAGATAAGTTCCTTGGACAGAGCTTGAAGGTCGGCTCTGGTGGCAAGATCTGTGCTTGTTGTGGGTGGTGGTGGCATAGAGGTGGTGGCGGATGTTGATGGAGGATGAGGAAGGCTGGCGATGAGATTCCTCACCTCTGTAGTGAAGGAGGAGAATGTTGCATCGAAGGGGCCAGTAGAGGGAGGTGGATGTGGTGGAGGTTGGGTATGTTGGCTAGTATAGTGGTTGGGAGTTGGGTTAAGGTGGTTTGGATGTTGGTCATTTGGGTGGTGAGGGAGGTGAGGATTTCATCAATTGATGAAGATGTTTGTGGAAGTGTTGGTTGAGGGAGTTGGGTGAGGATTGTGGCAGGTAGGGCATTGAGGGTTTGGAAGATGGTGTTTATTTGAGTGGTTATGGTGGCTATGGTCTCATCGGTCGCAGTTGCCTGGACCATGAGGGTGGAGATTGAGTGGATGAGGAGTTGGTTTCTTTGGTTGGCAAGGGAGGAGGTGGTGTGGTGGTGTTGGGTTACGGTTTGTTGGAGCAATTAGAGACGGGTGGTATTGTCTCTGGTTTGGTTGGCAAGGGTGGTGAGGGTCTGTTGAAGGGTGCCAAGGGATTGTTGAAGGGTGGAGGTATCGATTGATAGTGGGTTGTCAACAATCCCTTGGATGATGAGTTTTAGGTCTTCCAAGGACCGCTTAACTAAGTCAACAAAGGCTTGGAACTCAGCCTTTGGGACCAGATCTGCTGTAAGTGTAACCCCTGCAGCAACGAATGCTGCAGGTTGAGCCTCTACTCCTGAGGCGCCTTCAATGCCTTGTGAAAACGTAGGCCTTAAAGGACTTCCATCATGTCCTTGATAGCCCTCAAGTGAGGAGCTATCTCCAGATGTTGCGACAACTTCTTCTTTCTCCTCGGCTTTAGAGGCCGGGTAAGAGAAGTAAGTGTGTTTCCCCTTCGCTAGATCAAGTATCGAAAGGGGTTGTGGTGCACGAAGGGAAGATCGCTCTGAACGATCTTGGGGTTCATCAATGGCAGAAGTAACACATGCTTCTGGGTGTGTGGGTGGTACTATCGAGCCTTGAGGCGATGGGGCTCTTATGTCTTCATCGCCTCTCTGTTGGGAGAGGGCCGATGGGTGTTGTGGTTCCTCAGATAAGTCATCTCCAGAGGCCCGAAGAATGGCCTATACATGGCTGGTTGGTTGTGGGATTGAACTGGGTGGTCCTTGTTCAATACCCCTTTGGCCTTGATCGCCAGGGGTAGATGTGGTGGTTGCCCTTTGGGAAGTGGCAGGGGGATTTGTTTGAGTAAGGCCGGGGGATGCACTAGGAGTGTCATCATCATCATCATCCGATAAAGATGCCTCCTGTGCTCCCTCGCTTGTTTCTAGGGACGGCTCTATTCGCTATGGGGTAGCTGCCCTTGGTTCATGGGACAACAGAGAGCATTCGTAGGTTCTACGTATCTCAGATGTCTCTGGAATGACACTGAGCATGGCTCTTGGAGATGGGTCTGTTGGTCGTGTATCTTTCCTTCGATAGAGTGGGTCGATGGCCATGAATTTTGAAGATGGGGGTGAATGGTTCTTCGGCCGGGAGACCATGTTTCCTCATCGCATCCCCTATGAATAGAGCGAGGAAACAAGGAAACTGAACAAAGGTAAGGGGCTTGCCGGTCGCCTGGAGCTCGCTTTTCTTGATTACGACCGTGTGGATCTCATTGTATATGAGAAAAGCGTAGTCGAGAGGGATGTTGAAGAAAAGTCCGTACATGATGGTCATGATGTTGATGTTGCCTTGGTCCATCGACCCTAGTTTGCAGGTGAGGGCCCTGTTCAAGATGGAGAAGAACATGTTCCACATTGGTGGTAAACATTGCCTTTTGAAGTCGGAGGCATTGTGTAGGTCACAATTGTAACCTAGCATTTGGATGAACCATAGGATGTTGGAGGTGGTGGGTGGCTCGGCATATTGCTCGATGCCGAGTTCTCGACGAGTAGGAATGCATAGTACTCGGGATACTTTTGCCCATGAGATTTTGAGCGAGCAAATCATGTCGTTTGGGGCGTCAATGTCCCTCATTATCCCATGGCTTTTAGGGTCGAATTCGCAGGTCTGCCAATACTGCTGGATGTACTTTAGTGGTACACCGGTGTTAGTGAGAGTCAGTGCAGGGAGAAGAATGCAGTTCTTGAAGAACTCGATCATGACGGCAAACCTGTCGTCGAACAGGGTGTTTTGCAGTTCAATGGCGTAGTTGTTGGGCTTCATTGGGAGGAATACAATGGTGCGGCTGTCGGCACCGATGGATTGAACGTGGCTGTCATTGTTATTGGACTCGTGTGATGCGGAGGAAGCCATTGCGTAGGAAGTTGCAGCTAAGTTCGTTCGTCAAAGGCTGTTTGCAGGTTTTAGGAAGCGTAAAGAGTAAATGGAGGTAGAAGAAGGGTATTTATAGGTAGGGAGGAGGTGGGGAGGAGGGGTGGGGGTGGGGAATATGAACAGGTTTTCTTGATTATTATATTTAAATAATCATGAAATGGGAGTCGGTTGGGTAAAAGGTGATTTGATTTAGAGATCGTGAGCCGTCTTGAGTGTACGTGCCATTAATGTTGGAGGACGCGTGTCAAGGCAGGGTTAGGGAAGGGAAATTGGAAACGCTTTATGGGGAACAGGCTGTATATGGTGTCAGGCGCGTGTGAGGATGACGTATGGATTATTTGAAATAAGAAATTATTCCAAATAATATCTCGTTAAATATTAATCCAAAAATAATTCAAATTTAAAATCCCATCTAATTGTATGATGAATACGAATTACGAAGTTTTGGTCTTCTAAAATACCCATGTTGTATAGTTTATAGTCACAAAAGCTGCAATTTTGTACAATCTTTAGAAAGTTTTTCAATTTTGATGGGTTTATGGATGAAAGTGATTTTGTCATGAAACTAGAGGAGTTCTGGTTTCACATAACTCTTTTGATGGGGAACCAAAGGTGCTCTGGTTGAATATCGATGAAGGAATTAATCGATGGAATGTTGGATTACATGATTAAGAAGCCTAGGATGACAAACCAGAGCTTCTGAATAAGCATGAGTAATCCATTATGTAGAACCAGAGGGGCTCTGGTTAAATGTACATTGTATTCATTATTTAGCATTTAGGTGTCCAGAGGCTCTGGATAGTAGAACCAGAGGCTCTAGTATGGAAAATGCATACTTATGCAATGGAGATTCATGGTGAATGAATAGCTCCCCCTCAAATGATGCATGTGGATAGTATTTGAGTTTTTGAAACTCCCCCTTGAAACAATAACTATATGGATTGAGGTGACCAGAGGCTCTGGTTGTGAATGAAGATGAAAAGATTTATGAAATATGGCTAAGTATGCAAATGGATATGCATATGAATGGGTCTTTGAGACTAGAGGGCTCTGGTTCCAAAGACAATGGTTAAGTGCTTGAGTGAGAAAAGGGGGTGGGGGAATCTTTGGGTTCAGAGGGGTTCTGGTTACGAAGAGTATGAATCCAGAGGCTCTAGTCTTTAGAGACAGAGGCTCTGGTGGTTTTAGAGATGATGAATGAAAGGGGAATTAGCGTGCCAAGTCTTATTTGGAAACCAGAGGTCTCTAGTTGCAAAGGACATGGAAACCAGAGGCTCTGGTCTTTAGAACCAGAGGCTCTAGTTACATAGAAGAAATGCGATGGAGTCCAAAAGGGCTCTAGTCTCAAAGGATGAGAATCCAGAGGCTCTGGTCTATAGAACCAGAGGCTCTGGTCTCAAAGAGAGAGAATCCAGAGACTCTGGTCTATAGAACCAGAGGCTCTGGTTGCGAAGGCAATACTTATTGACTAAAAGCTAAGTATTTGCTTTGGACCAGAGGTCTCTAGGTCCAAAGGCGATGAAAAACATTAAGCCATATTAAAAGATTTCTTCATGGCTAGAGGCTCTGATCTTTAGAACCAGAGACGCTGGTTTGAAGTACTTATTGATTATGGCTTCTTGTTATGTATCACTTTTAGGCATAACCATGATATATTGAGAATCTCTAATTTTAGAATATTTATTGCCTTTAAGTGGTGAGATTCAGCATACCCATCTTGCTGACTAGAAATAAAAATCGTTTCTCATCAAAAGCTTTTGTGAAAATGTCAGCAAGTTGAATCTCAGTGGGAACAAAATACATTTCTATATTACCTTTTTCAACATTATCTTTCAGAAAATGGTATCTTACATCGATGTGCTTGGTCTTGGAATGCTGCAATGGGTTTCAGAGATTACTATGGCACTCTTGGAGTCATAGAAGATGGGAATATTGTTATAATGGAATCCATAGTCCTTAAGCTGAGTCTTCATCCAGAGAACTTGTGAACAACAACTAGCAGCAACAACATATTCTGCTTCAGCTGTAGAGGTTGAGACACAATTATGTTTTCTGGATGTCCAACTTACCAGCTTGTCCTCCAAGAGTTGACAGCTGCCAGACGTGCTCTTTCTATCAAGCTTGCAACCTGCATGATCTGCATCTGTATAGGCTATTAGATCAAAGCCAGAGTTCTTTGGATACCAGAGACCCAATGAAGGAGTTCCCTTGAGGTATCTAAAGATCCTTTTGACTGTAGAGAGATGAGATTCTTTAGGATTTGAATGATATCTTGCACAAAGACATGTAGCAAACATAATGTCTGGTCTACTAGCAGTTAGATACAGGAGTGATCCAATCATGCCTCTGTAGGTTGTTACATCCACATATTTGCCTGATGGATCAGCAAATAACTTAGCTCCTGTAGCCATAGGTATTCTAATCGATGATGAAGTTGAGAGAGAATACTTCTTCAGAAGGTCAGTCACATATTTGGACTGATTAATGAAAATTCCTTCTGAAGCTTGTTTTA